GGGGGGGGGGGGGGGGGGGCTGCAGATTGTTAGACCACATCCTATTCCCAGAGTTTTACTTCTTGGTTCAGCAGCTTTTACAAAGGCCCATATTATGGTTGTCAGTCAAATCAACATTAACCAATGTTTTTACTTTTTTCTGGTGATCTCTTCCTGCGATATGATAGGTTCCTTGATATAATGCAAGAGGCTCCTTTATTTGGTTACCGGAAGCCAACGAGGATCATTGGGAGCTTCTTCTACTGTTTTTTATTGGCAAGTATTTATAGTTTCCTGGCATGATATGGCAAAGAGTATTTCATTGCAAAGCTGATTTTATTTGTTTCTAGGCTGGTTATGCGATTCTAGCTGTAGGAGCTACATGGATACTCCATCCCATTCAAGGATTAATTGCCCTGCTGCTCTGCAGTTGTGATGTCATTCTTTTGGTTGTCACAGGTCATTTATCAAGCTTGCATCTCTTTTCCATATTTATATTCTTTGTTTTTTTCTCAGATCTTTGCCTTCACATTTGAGTTGAACTACATTTGAACTTCACCAGAAAATTTTACTTATGATTCTTTCTTGAAAAAAAAAAAAAATTGACCATATCTTTCATTACGTGATTATAAAAAGCAGATAAAGCATTTAGATTTTGAAATTGGACGGATAAATATTAAATTTATCGGGACAAAAGAAAGCAAATATATGATAATTTTTGTCAATAAATATTGAACGGATTCTGAAGTGCATCATAAAGATATCAAGCAAAAGAGAAAACATTAAATAGGTGGCAAATCACAAAGAATCCATAGTATTGAAATCTCCAACATCAAGACATACGTAATGTCCTCCAGCTAGCATTCTCCTCATCCAAATTTTGCTATATGTGTGTCTCCAATATGCATCATTCTATTGATGATTTGGACACAATTTGATGTGCTAGATATGCGTCAAAGGTTTCATTTGGGAGCTTGGGCACTGTATCCCAAGAACGTCCTTGTAATGGCTCATAGGATTTATATGTTACCTTAGGCACAGAGTCCTTGATTATCATACTATAATTGTTATATATTGAGAATAACTGTCACAAATGAATTGTATATTGTTATCCTGTGATATTCATTGGCTGTTTTCTTGTTTGATTTCATGACATATACAGGCATATTTCAGCAATATTTGGTTTACCAAGTTCAGAAGATACGTCTTCAGGTAACTAATTCCCTTTTGAATGTGAACTGAACACAACCTCTTTCATTCAATAAAGTTCTAACAGACTTTAATTATTTTTTCATTGTTTTGGACTACATGCTATATATGAAAGAATGTTATCATTCATTTGTTAATTCTTTCCATAATTAAATTGATAAACATATTTATTCTAAACATTCATACATGAATCAGTTTGTTCTTTTGGGTACCATTCATTGTAATGTAATACTAATATATTACTCTTAGATAGAACTTTACTTATTATCATGCTAACACAATGACCAGAAAAGTATTAGACAGCGTAAAATGTGATCTCACATGTATCAAGATAAAATGTCATTTATCTCTTGCTTTAATGTCTTATACATCTTTCTTACCAAAAAGGTATTAGTATTGTTAGCATAAGTTGTGTGATTGTAGCATAATTAATGGGATTGCTTAATTATGAGGATTACAGATTGCTTAATTATAGGAATTATTGTATCTTTCTCAATTTATAGCATAGGTTCTCTTGTATAAATAGGGCGTACACCTTGATAAACACAACTCAGAAGTATAATTCTCTAGTTTTCATACTTCTTTATTGTTTTCTAACATGGTTTCAGAGCATAGGTGCGTCTGAAATATCTTTTGGCCTGTCTTCTCTGTAATTTTCCTTTTACTCCAGTCTTCAACCTCTGAAAGATCATTGATCTCTCTGTAATTTTCCCTTCACTCCAGTCTTCTGGATCTACGATGCAGAAAACAGAAATTTCTCCTTCAATTGTTACTGATATCTCCAAACCTATTACCACCACTCTAATTGGTTCCAACTACAATTTATGGGTTCAAGGAAAGAAAAGTTTTCTTATTGGGCGCAAACTTTGGTGCATTGTCTCTGGTGATCTCATCAAACCCACTCGTGGGAAAGATGAGACAGTTGAAAAATATGAAGGTCGTCTTGAAGATTGGGATAACAAGAATCATCAAATTATTACCTGATTCCGGAATACTTTTGTCCCTTCAATTCATATTCAATTTGCAACTTATGATACTGCAAAAAAGATATGGGATTTCCTAGCTAACAGGTATAAAACCACTGGCCTTGCTCACTATTATCAATTGTGGAAAATTCTGCATAATTTGAAACAAGATGCTAGGCAGTCTGTGAATGATTTCTTGACTCAAGTACAACCTATTTGGAACGAACTATCTCAAGCCAAAATCAATGAGGATCACCTTCATCTCATCCAAGTTCTTATGGCTCTTCGCCCTGAGTATGAAGTTGTTAGGGCATCTTTGTTGCATCGTAATCCTCTGCCCACGCTGAATTCTGCCATCCAAGAGATTATCTTTGAGGAAACACGTCTTGGCCTGGAAAAGTCTCTCCAGTCTGAAATTGCTCTTGCTACCACTCATTCTAGACCCTCCTACCGCAAATCGGAGACAAAGTTTTGTAAACATTGTCATCAAAATGGCCACTTACTCTCTGATTGTCCAACTATTGAGTGTCGATATTGCCATAAAATAGGTCATATAATTGAGAATTGTCCTATTAGACCACCAAGACCTAAAGGAGTAATTTCCAAGTCTAAACATGTCTCTAAG